TCACATCGAAATTCTTCACCAAATTTAGAATAAAACATAAAATTTAAAAATAATTTTTTATTTTATTTTATTTTATTTTTTTGGCCTGGTCGGCCAAGTGACCCCAGGCCACTCTGGTAACCTAGCCGACAAGCCTAGATATATTTTTTGTAATCTGACGTCATCTGCGATTTTTAAAAAATAAAACGAAAATAAGTACAAATAAAGAAATAAAAAGAAGGAAAGCCGACAATTTGTTTTTTGATTTTTTATGAAGAGGGTTATGGTCAAACAATCATCCTGTGTTTTTTGAACTTTTTTGGGGGGGGTATTTCTTGGGACATTGGGTGTGGAAAAAAAAAAAGCAAAAAAAAAAAAAAAACACCAAAAAAGGGCCAGGCTGGGGTTGGCGTGCTCTGGGTGGTGGGGGACCACCCCCAACAGGGACAATGAGCAACACAATTTGTGTTGTCGTATCACATAGATCTGTGATTACGTAGATATGGCAACACAAATTGTGTTGCTGCTGTTGATGACAACAACACAGAGAGAGAGAGAGAGAGAGAGAGAGAGAGAGAGAGAGAGAGAGAGAGAGAGAGAGAGAGAGAGAGAGAGAGCCATGTGGGAAATCGCCGCGTGGCAGTCCGCGACCGAGGCCGCGTGACCTGGCGCCGAGGACCGAGACCTAACAGCAGCCACGGCCACGGCCTGCACGGCCTGACGCCGAGCAGGTAAGCTGCTTTTTTTCTTCTTCTTCGCTGTTCTTCTTCTTCTTCTTCGTTTTGTACATGTTCATTTTATTCTTTTTCTTTGTTGGTTCGAGATCGAGAGAGAGAGCCACGTGGGAAAATCACCACGTGTCAGTCCGCGGCCGAGGCCGGGCGACCTGGCACCGAGGACGGAGACCTAACAATGGCCGCAGCCGCGGCCTGCAGGGCCTGATGCTGAGCGGGTATGCTTTTTTTTCTTTTCTTTTCTTTTCTTTTCTTCTTCTTCTTCAGAATCTTCTTCTTCTTCCTCAGGCTACTAGAGTGGCCCCGGACCACTTGCCTGGCTGGCCAAAAAAAAAAAAAAAAAAAAAAAAAGTTTTATTTTTTATTTTAAATTTGGTAAAGATTTTTTTTTCTTTCTAAAACTACGCTATATTCTTCTCTCAAATCTTTCATCATCTTTGAAATTCTTTCAGTTCACCTTCACTACCTGCCTACCACTACTCCCAAGGCTTATACAGGGGACCCCTGCGAACATAGCTTTGTTGTCTCCCTCCACCCATCAGAGGGGATGCATGTTGTCCCCCGGGCCCCAACCATGGTGGTCAAGGATGGGGTGGGGCTGCCGGTGGGGGTCCACCTAACGGGAAGACTGAGCATTTCCCCCACCCCCAACCGAAGAACGGTAGTGTCTAAGGCCCACACTCTCACACACCCCACACACAACCCACTCACACTCACACTCACACTCACACCCACACTCACACCCGTGTTGGCCAAGGACCCAGCTAATACCGATTCAGAGGTATCAAGCGGACTATCACCGCTGGTTGGCACGAAGTGCGCCGCAGGTGGTTGTGGGGCTCGAACCTACAACCTCCTGAATGGCACTTGCGTGCCTAACCAACTGAGCTAGGCCGCTGGGTTTGGTAAGGAATTTGGATGTGACCCTGAGGCAAACGTTGTTCAGTTTATTTTTCTGCATAACATAGTTTGTTTTCGGATTTTTTGGAATTTTTTTTTTTTTTTGCTGGGACCTTCCCGGGCCCGGGAAAACAGGGTGACCTGGGCGGCCCGGCTGATAGCCTAGCACACGTCCACAACAAAAAAAGCAGACACACACACACGGCCACACACACACACACACACACACACGTACACACACACACACGGCAAAAAGGAAAAAGTGAAACACGCTTGGCGAAGGTGGGTGGTACTATGCGGGAGCGGTGGTATTATGTGGCCCGGGTGGGTACTATGCGGGACGGGCGGTATTATGTGGCTCGGGTGATACTATGTGTTCCGGGTGGCACCATGTTGACTCAGTGGCAGCATGGGGGGGGGTGTCAGACCAGGTCCGAGGTCCCACTAGCAAAAAGGATAGGACCGAACTCCTGAATCTGGATGTGTGCTATGTAGAGATCCAGAAAAGCAGTTCAATCTCGATTTCCTGGACATCTCCATAACCTCGTCCAGATTCAGGCATTCGATCCGATCCTCTTTGCTAGTGGGACGACGCCCCAGGTGGACTGGATGGTAGGCAGACACACGGCTGGAAAAAGCAAACAAACAAACAAACAAAAGAACAAAAACACAGCTGGCTGCTCCCCAAGAAAAGCCAGACTCCCGGGCACAGCTCGGCCATTGGCACTGCCAGGTGGTACCCTATGGACAGGGTGGTATTATGCAGGGTGAGTGAAACCATACGGGTGGGTTGGCAGCACGTGAACTGGGCAGCACCATGTGGGGCAGGTCATACCATGTGGGGTTGACGGTACAAACACATACACCCCCACAAAACCAGAGCAAAAAAATGCACACACACACACACACACACACACACACACACACATATGATTCCCCTGCAATTCAAACTCATGACCTATTCAACAACAGTCTGG